AAATAGAAGTTAACTTTCTTGGTCGACACTATGCTCGTTGGATAACTTAAAAACAATTTAGTGAAACGGTTAGAATAAAGATTTTCTTTAGAATTTGCGACAGTTTTGATGATTATGTCACAAATCATTTTTGCTATTTTTTTGTCCATAAAAGATATAAAAAGTCATCGGGAGTGAGCTATTTATAACTTTTGTGCTGTAATTGAAAAAAGCACACGATTCAAATCATAATATTCCACCAAAAAAATAAAAAATAAATCAATCAATTCTTGTTGATTTTATTGCATTCTAATAATTTCATAATGGAATATGTGAATAATTAATTTTGAATCTTATATAAATAGTCATGGTTAAAACTCAAAAGTTACAATTGATAAAATTATTTGACTTTATAAAATATGGAAAAGTCATCTGCCATTTTGTTTTAATCTTCACCATGCAAACCGGAATATTATTCCCAATGCCACCAGTATAAATAAAAATTTAGAGTAGCGCTTATAAATGATTTATCAATAATATATTACTAGCAAGATTTGAACTCATTTCATGCCAATTTTGATAACAAAATCATTTTGAATCCTGGTTCTTAGCATAAATATAAAAAGCACAGAAACAAGACTGTTTTTCCTATCATTGCCGGTGCTTCAATTATCATTGTTATTTGCGGAAAAAGAATAATGCACTTCATTGTCCCCTATAACCTAATTGGATACTCCCTCCCCTTTGACTTTTCTCGCAGCTCTATATTCACGGGATTTTTTTTATATCATTCGAGAGAATCTCAACCATTCATACAGATAATAATTTATTTTAAAAATATTTTAATCAGTCCATTGTTGTGTGATTAATTTGATTTGAGACGGATTTTAAAATTAAGGTTTTAAATTTCTGTCAAAGATAATATTAAAGATGATAGAACATATGCTCACACCCCACTTATTTAATTTTATGACATCAACTTAACTATCATCGTTTGATTCTATTCAGATAATAATTAATAGTAACGAGGGAATGCATTGAGATAAAAGATAAAAAAAAAATGGTTAATTTGTATATCTACATTCATTTTGAAGGAAGATCTCATATCACATCAAGAGAATATTTATTCTCAAAAGGTATGATTTTTGAAAATTTATTCGTCAAGTTTATTACATGTTTGTTTAATATTTAAAATTTTAATACGTATAATTATATAAAGAGTTTTTTTTTTTTTTTTAGATAACTTATCTACATTGAGCATAAAATGACATTGTTTTCAGGTAAAAATAAAGATATTTTTGTAATTATAATTTATTTTGGTGTTATAATAGTCTTTTTCATTATAATTTTTTAATTTTTTAATTCAAAGTGACATCATTTTAGGAAGAAATGTAGATAATTTATCTACATTCACTATAGAAACATTAAAATCGTATATAAAAACAATTAAAGTGGTTTCAAATGCTTTGCTTTATAATATAATTTGGAGCTTGATTAGGAGAAAAATACCAAAGTAAAATATATATCCTTGGACTAAATTATTAATATTCGTTATTGTGGCTAACGATGTTATAATTATAATTTTTTATTTTTGGTCGAGGATGGAGTAGTTTGAATAAAAGTGTCTTACAGCTCGTTTGTATTGGCTTTTTAAGAAAGTCATTTTTATCAGTTCCTTATTTTAAAAGTATTTTCTATGAAAGTTACAGCTATTTAGATTTTTAAGAAAATATTTGACTTTTGACTTCTGCTTTTTTTAAAAGTTAAAATTTTTAGCATCCGAAAAAAGTATATTTTTAGTTTTTTTATGACTTCTGTTTTTTTTAAAAGCAGACATCTAAACAGACTTTTTTCGAGAAGTGTTTTTTTCTTAAAAAAAGCAGCTTTTGAAAAAAAAAAAACCCATCCAATCGAGTTCGTAGTCCACCAAAAAAAGTGTCTTAAAATTTCTTGTAACGTTATCATCACGGGATCAAGCACGTACAAAAATGGAACTAAAAAAACGTTTTTAAGGGGTCGCCACATACATATTTCCTAATCTCCTTTGTAATCACCCGAATTATATATATTGACCAAAATTCCAGCCTTGTAAGTAATTTTGATCTTAAATATAAAAATAATCATAATACCAGTGATGAAAACCAAAGAACCACAATCAACAACGACACGAAAGTGATTAGTAATGCTTTATTCTGCGTAAACAGATACAAAATTTTTATCCCTTTCGTAGTTCTAAAATTTATCCTTATGAAAAAAAATAAAAAAAATTCTCTCAACTAAAATAGATAACAAGTTGTTTGCCGAAAATAAAATAAAATATGACAAGGTTGAATAAAAGACTTAGACATGGCAAAATGAGCCGCCTCACCACGTCTTTAATCCGTAAAAAATGAGACGGGATAAGTGTTGACCTGTCATTAGTGAATGAATTGGAAATATCAATTCATCTTGTTTTTTGAAGCGAAAGATGGGTCAATTTGCCTAAAATATTAAAATAAATAGATAATTATATTCAATGCTAAGTTTTTAATTTTAATCGCTAACATATAAATTTTTCTATGTTTGAAACAAGCATCACACAATAAGACAATGACAAAAGAATAATTTAAGTCAATAATTTCATTTAACATAGCTACACAAGCCATGATTTTAGATTAATTAATAATTTCGGTGTTATCCATAAATATATGCAAATAAACACATCATTGTATGATGTAATTAAAATTTCATATAAGCATGTAGTTTGATTTGTATAAATAGCAATATTAAAATCCAAAAATAGGCACAAGTTTCTTTTTTCTAGTGTGTTAATATATTTTTCTACAAAATCTAAAGTGAATAAAAACCCAAAGAAGCAATTACAATATAGCATATTAGCGTCATGGCTCTCAAAGAAATTTTTTTCTTTCACGTAATAACCATTAACACAAACCAATCAAATTATCATCTAATATTTATCATTATAAAAATAATATTTATCATTGATGGGTTGAAATATACAGCTCTAGATGCGTTGGATTCCACTCATTTTGCCAAATCCACATAAAAATTAAAAAATCTTTAAACTTGGCTATGACCAATCAATGATGGAAATAGACCAACCTTTTTGACTTCAAGTCTACAACCATAAACCTATCAATTAAAGTAGAAAACAGCTGACAAAGCTTCTAGTTAAGTTCACGGTCCATGGGGTTGAAAATGTCTTCTTACCTTGTTAACTTTCGTGAGACATAACCGTGAAACGCTACTCAACAAGTTTCAGCTGGTAATATGTATGTATAGATAGATAATCATTGGCTTACAACATGTTTGCAAATACAATTCTTGGTTTAACTGTTTTTTTTTTTTTTTTTTTCCCTTCTAAATTAAGCAGATATAAAATAGTGAAGATTTTATTCCATTGTTATATATAATTGACTAACAAAAATTTCCATGGAACTAAAAGTGTTAGGAAACAATTGTGCCTTTCCCACATGAAAACAAGCAAACCACTCCAAATATTAATTAACGATTGCCATGCATTAACTAATCCTGATACCCTAATTAATCTGCATATATATATATATATATATATATATATATATATATATATATACATACAGAAATTGTTGAACCCAATATAGTAAAAAAGTGATTGACAGAGGCTGTTAGTTAATGAACCAAGGGGAAACTCTCGCGAATTTTAGCTGGAAGAGTCATGTAGAGAAGAGCTATCAATAAATCAGAGAAACTCTGGAAGTGCCTGAAGACTTTGTCGTCGTGTGTATGATTGTGGCCTTGGGTGAGAGAGAGATGTTCCGTGATTTTGTTCCTACAAAGAGGGCAGGTGCTGTGGCTCTTCAACCATGCATCAATACAATCAGCATGAAAACTGTGGTTGCATCCGGCTAGACACCGTACCTCTCCTCCTTCAGACACTTGGTGTAGACACACTGCACAACAGTCACCTTCACTTTCCTTCCCCGCATCTACATGATGAATATATCTATAACTGTTATACAGTTTATGCAACCTTTGAATTGCATATTTTTTAAAGGAGTACGGGACAAAAACAATGGCTGTGAAGAAGAAGATGAGAATGGTGATCATGTTGCTACTTGCTTCAAATCAGCGCTGTAATAAATTCCAATGAACATTGACCTTTAATTGCCCTTTTAATACTATCACCTGCCGGCTTAATTTGTACTATATATATATGTCTTGGAATAATATTTTAAGTTTCTAAGTACCTGTTATATATTTGGCCAATGATGTTGATCGTTATGTGTAATGTAAGTGTGACACCTGACAAGGCATGATATATATAGATATTTTTTTTTTTAAACATTGCCTCGTTATTTATTTCTGTTTCGGCTCACTGCATGTTAATTTTGAGGAATGATTTGGCTGGTTCTATCTGAAAATAACTCTCGAGTTGAGTTGAAAAGAAAATTGCAAAAGAATACGTCATTGCTATATGATTGCAAATAATTGAATCCTTCGCCATTCCTTCACTCAATCTAGAATCAATCGTTGTCTTAACTAATCTAATATAAACTAATCAAATCAATTTCTCTACTAACTAATTCATCCGATTTGTTAATTAACTGCCGTCGCCAATTATTCTTAATTTCTTGCTGAAATTTAAAAAATCGTGATATAGCAATAACAGTGGAAGAATTTTTATGGTAGAAATGTGGAATATCTACCTAGAATTTGTTTTTTTTTTTAAAAAGAGAGAGAGTTTATTATGTGTTTCTTTGATTGGTATATCTATCTATCTATCTATCGATATTAATCTATTGTATCCTGTGGGTGTGTGGCCGTGTGGGAACTAAAACTAATTACTAATAAGAAATATTTGTAGAAAAGGCCACAAGGGATTTGGGTATGTGTGAGTGTGACGGTGTGAGGCCCAAGACGAAGTGGGGGTGGGTTAGAGCCCATGAGGTACGAGGTATGAGGTTTGGGTTGAACTGGCCATTTGCATTTACATTTATGAACTCGTTAATCCTTACGTTATCCTGTTGTGTTTAGTTCGGTGTTTGTGGTGTGCTTCTTTCATAGCAAATATCACTTTTTTCTTCCTCTCAATTCTCGCTCTCTCTCCCAACTGAGATGCTGTAAATTGCTCGATTTGCATCCTCACCCTCACTGAATGAGCTTCCATGCCTTTGTTTGGTACATGTTTCTTCTCTCTCTCTCTTTCTTCCAATCAGTTTTCTCTTTCTCTCCACCATTTTTCGTTAATTTCTCTCATATTGAACTTTGCCCAAATTTCATCTTGAATATGCTTCTTCGTCTCCATTGTTGTTATTTATATGACCTTATATTATTGTTTATAGTTTTAGCATATGATACTTTTGATAATCTTTTTTTTTTTTTTTTCCTTCTTTAATGTTTGAGAGCAGAGATAACAAATGCACAGCTATACTTCCAATGTCCCTTGTATTCACTGAGGGCACCAATGCCATATCATGGTAAAGGTTCATCGATTTCGTTTGCCTTTGGTAATGAGCAAAACGTTCTTTTTCCTTTGAAATCATTGAACAAGCTTAAAAAGGAAAAATTCAATGTGGCACGTGTTGAGTTGCCGAGGGGTAGATTCCTGATTAAGGCAGTTGCTACCTTAACCTTTGAACCAAAGAGTTTGGCTCCAAAAGGAGACAAATGCATGGACTCCTCCAAGGACTTTGAACTGGGTCTAAATCCTGTCCCACCTGGGGCTCTGCTTGAATATTCTGATGTAGAATCAGAAGAACTTGATGAGAGGGAGAAGTTGAGAAGAATGAGGATTTCAAAAGCTAATAAAGGAAACACGCCATGGAACAAAGGAAGAAAGCATAGTGCTGGTAAGTAGCGCTTGCTTTACTTTCTACTTACTTCTCTATCATTATTTTATTGTGTTCCAACTTTAGCTCTACTTTTGAATATGTGAGCAGAAACTTTGCGGAAAATCAAGGAAAGAACAAGGCTCGCGATGCAGAATCCTAAGGTGATGTCATGTAAGAATATTTTTATGTCTTCGTTGAAGAAGATTTTGAGATTAAGTTCACAACATCCATTTTACTTCAATATGAAATTTACAACCTAGAGTCACTTCCAGATTTTAGAATTCAGACAGGCTCTGATTTGTGGGTGAGCCTTGGAACAGCAATAAGGTTGCTCTTTGTGGCCAGAAAATAACAAGTTCAAGTTTGAGAAACAGTCTATTTGTCAAAATGCAAATATAAGTTTGCATACAAGTGGTCTCACATTCTGCACCCGAGTTCTCCCTTAGACAGGCTGTAACTTCACTTTTTCTGCCTAAAGAAGAAAGTACTCGTAATAGGAAAAAACTGCTCAAGGAAACAGAAGTTTAAAGAAACCATTTTCATTTCTTGTATTCTCCTCTCTCTGTAAAACATTGTTTATATTCTTAACAGGTAGTCTCACATTTTTTCTGAATATAAGTTCTTCTCAAAGCACAAATTTATATAGAATGCATTGTAAAAATAACTAGTCAATGGCAACAATTGATAAAGTGATAAATTTGACTGTTCATACCTTTTTGTTGGCCATTCCAGGCGTTTTGCGATAACATCTTTGTCAATATTTGTTCTTTTCTAAATTGCAACAATTTTTTCTTTGATGAATTCTCTGCTAGGGGTACAGCTTTTCAAAGTTCTAAGTAATTCACTTGATGAAACTTTTGCTACTTTGTCTTGACCTGGATTGCCTAACCAGATTGAGTATTTCAAAGCACACAATATCTGATATTCAAAATTTATTATCCCCTATTTGTCTCTGGTGCCATTGAACAGTTTCTTAGTAAGTTGTAATTTTTTTAATAAGCATTTTTAATCTGGATTAGGTGTAGATAAGTACATAAATGGTTATTGGGCTTTTGAATTTTGGCTTATATAATTTTCTTAATTAATTTGTTAACAAAATTTGCTAATGCAGGTAAAAATGAAGTTGATTAATCTCGGGCATGCACAATCGTAAGTATATGTCTTTCTGTGATCATTGTTGCTACTAATAATGCTCCTTCTTTGTTGATTAGTTCTTTTACCCAAATAATTTTATTGGATTCAGCCTTCTTTATTGATTGCTCAGTACAGAAACAAGACGGAAAATTGGTGCTGGAGTGAGAATGCGATGGGAAAGGAGGCGTGGAAGGAAGATGGTGCAGGAGACTTGCTGTTTTGAGTGGCTTAATTTAATTGCAGAAGCTTCTAGACAAGGCTATGTTGGTCAGGAAAAGCTGCAATGGAATTCTTATGAAACCTTGGATGAACAGCTGAAGCAGGAGTGGTTGGTGAGTGTTGAACAAAGGAAACAAATAGCAAGGGTACCAGGTAGCAGAAGAGCACCCAAGCCTCCTGAACAGAGAAGGAAAATTGCAGAAGCCATTGCTGCAAAATGGGCTGATCCTGTAAGTGTATATGTACATACCTTGAAGTTGGGTGGTTTATGGTTTTTACTGCAACTAAATGTTTGCTAGATCTTGCACTCAGTTAGCACACTAGAAAGCTCTCATCAAACTAGAACTTGTTAATTATTTGTGATCGAATTCAAATAAGTTAACACTGGATTTTTTATTTTATTTTTTTACTTAAATGATGCCACAATTAATTCTATTTTATTTTTTTCAATACTCAACGTTGTCCTTCTCATGGATTAACTAGAAAGACATGGTATTTCTAGTATCTAAATTCTTAGACTTGTATGTTCAACGACTTGATATTTATTGATAGTTTGATATAATTATTAATCTTTTCTTATTAAGATTTTGTACGTTGCCAGACAAGTCTCTAGTAATTGATTTCTGTAAGCTACTTGGATTAATTAGAATATGAGGCTGAGTAGTAACAGTGGTGTTTTTATCCTGATATAAATTTTAAGTTTTGTTTTGTTTTAATTCATATGTTGACATGTTCACAAATTGTCTTCCAATAAATGCTGAATATTGTTAAGTAGTTAGGTCAAAGGCCCATGGTGTGAATTCTTTATTATACAAAAGTTGGAGGCGGAAGGAGGCGCAGTAAGAATAGTCAAAGGTCCAAACCACGATTTGCATGTTTTAGATGGAGATGTTGTTACCTAACCACCCTCAGTTTGTGCTTGCCATTTCATTGTTGCCCTATATAAAATATGGGTAACAACATGTGGTGTGTTTGCTCCATCTTTGTCTCTTGACTTTGACTTGCAGTCTTGCACGTGTTGAAACTACTTGTTATACCAAATGGCCTAGAAAAGTTTTTTCAAAGTATTGTACCCAAGAAAAAAGTTGTCAAAGTACTCCCGTCAAGAATTTAAGAAGGCTTAAGAACAAATTTTATTTTGAACGGTCTTTGTTTTAGTTTGGAGTCTCCCATTGTGCTACTTTTCTCTCTTCAGGACCAACTCATTTCTCTGTTAAATCAGGAATACCGGGGAAGAGTTCTCTTTGCATTGGCCAAGTTTCATAGCACTGAAGGTGGAGTTGAAAGGAAACCTAGAAGAAGGCCAAGTGATGGTACACGACCCACAAGGAGGAAACCTATCGTAAAAAGCGATTCTGATACTAACATTCATGTTAAGAGTGGCTCCAAAATTCTTAATCCGACCCTGTTGAAAAAAAGCAAATCCCCTTCCTATAAGGATCCTTTGGTTAATTCTAAGCTTGAGATGATAAAGAACATTAGAGCAGAGAGAGCTGCTGCAGAAGCCAGACCAACTCAAGTCATTGAACAAGCAAGGTAAACTCATTTTTTACTAATAAGGATCAGTGGCAGAATATTATATTGTTTTACTTCAATTGATTTCTTTTATTGTAATTCTGATGAACTTTTTTTTAAGCATATAATTTATTTATTTTTCAAGTTAATGACCTCTTTGTTTCTACGATCATGGTGGATGCACCAAAAATTGGTTACTTCTGTTTTGCTTTGGATATTATGTCATTGAAATACAGGTTTTGCCTTATTCGATTCCCATTGTAGCAGTAGCAGCTATCATGTATACATTCATGAAATAATATGTTATGCACAGACTATTGATTGCTGAAGCTGAGAAAGCTGCCAAGGCACTTGAGGTTGCTGCGACAAAGAGTCCCATTGTAAAATCTTCTCTGATAGAAACCAGAAAGCTCATAGCTGAAGCTATTCGGTCACTTGAATCCATTGATGCACAAGGGATAACTGAGGGTAATGTTCCTTCGGTTGGTTTGAGTGAGGCCTATAAGGAAAATGGATCAGCATTTGAAGTTCTAAACCAATCACAAATTGTCCAAGTAAATGGACACACAACATTATCATCAAGTCACGACAAGTTTTATGAAGATTTTGGCAAATTTTCCTTGGAGAAGCCAGTTACTGGTGATGCAGAACTTCACCTAATCAATGGCTGTGCTTACTTACCTTTTTCTTTGAATGGCCAGATAAAAGAATGTAGTCTATCAGATCAACGAAGGGAAACAGAACAGGACCAGAGCAACGAATACAAAACAGATGTTTCTGCAACTGTGATGGGAAATCAGTCCCTTAAAGATGAAACACTATCTAAATCTCCTATAGTAACTAAAAAGTGGGTTCGCGGAAGACTCGTTGAAGTGGCCGAAGAGAAACAGTAAAATAGGTAAAGTTTAGCTCAGTTTTCAAACAGTACAAAGCAATGTCATATTGTTTGCTTCATGTTATATAAATCAGAGTAAATGCCACAAATATTTTGTTCTTTAATAGTGTGATCATTGCTTGCTCAACCATGCTGGCACTCATTCGAATCATGAGTTCACTTGCATCGGTCCCTCAACAGCCAACCACATGTATGCCAATCCGAGGGAGACTATAATAGCAATCGCTCATGAGAGGATGCACTTCCGTCAGTTCGCAGGATCTTCTACTTCAGTTAATCATGTTACATTAAACTATGACGTAATCATATGAATATTTTGTTACATTACAGCAATTTTATGTCGTAGTTTTCTGTATTTTATGCTGTAGTTTTGTAGCCACTGCAGATATTTGAGCCCAGGCTGTGGCCAATTTTCCATCAGCCAGGAAATTCCAATATACTTGGGGTTGCGTCCGAATTGTATAGAGCAGGGTAGTGTTGGTTAAGGGATTACGAATTATTTTTTTACATGGGTTTTTATTTATATTTTTTCAAAAAAGTAACATCAAGATTTTCTAATTGTCTCTTCCAAATACAGTGTTCTTTCACTTCGGTTTCGACAACAAAACTTCTCTAGCTTTACCACCTAGTGTTATATAGTGGAGTAGTGGTAATGTAAATTGAATACAAGTTATTAGAGTAATTCTAAGGAGTATGCATTGTGGGTGAAATGCACCCAGACTATGTTAGAATTTTTTTCTCACCATCATCCGCCCATCCGCAAAACGTATCTGGATGCATATCGAAAATTGAGAATAGGACTGAACATGCCCTGATAAATTCTGTGTCTTCCTTCTAATCTTCTTGCAATTTGTTGCCAATTCGTAAAGATTATAGTTTTCTTGCGTTGGACACGTTATATATGATACAGGTGCCCATGGTTTTTATTTATTTTGAAAACTTCAATATCAACATAAACATAAACATAATATATTTGTCTTCTTATTTTATATTTTATATTTTTCAAACCACAAGAGAAGTAAGAATACTCTTGCTCCTGCTTTAGTGGGGCAGTCTACGGGGACTTTCGGCCTCTGAATCTGAATAAGAATTTTCTAACTAATCACTTTAAAATAATAAGTAAAGTGTATTTACTCGTATTTAAATTCAAGAGTAGATGCATTCCTGCTTATTCACTTTATAGACAACCTTGCTTTATGTAGTTATTACTGTATTTACACGTCTTGAAATTACATGTGACATTGAGTGTGTCAATGAGTAATATTTTAACATATGTTATATATATTTTTTTAATTTAATATTTATGGTAAGTAGCACAAGGGTCAATGAGCAGAAGAGGAATCAGAGTTGGAGGAGTTGCTGATATGGGATTCTATAGTCTTCTCAATCTGTCTCCTCTTAGCTTCTTTCTCTTCTTTGGCTTTCTGAATCTCATTCTGTACTTGGTTCTTCTGCAAAATCACGTAACACATATTTCATATGATCAGCCCCCACACCAAAAACGACAACATGATTAAAAAGTAGCAAAATCAAATGAAAGGAATATATAGCAAAGTGAGTTAGCAGATCGAGTACGTCGACGATGTCAGGAAGGGGGGGCTTAACACCATGAACTGCAGTGCGGTTGGAGGGCTTGGTTGTGAGAAGCTTCGAATAAGCAGGAGTAGTGGTGTTAGTGTTACTACTCAACCTCCACTTCCTGCCAACCAACAATACAAGCCTTGTCTTCTCCATCTACACCCACTCAACCCCCAATTGAATTTGGAACAAATTATAGTGTTGGTATTAGTTGGGTTACCCTGATAGCTAGTATATATAGTAATGTTTATAAGCTCCTCAAAGTCTATGATCCAATCGCTTACTCGTGGCAGCTACGCACAATGACAACGCATCGACCCTAGATGGGTAAAAAGCATCGTCACTTCACCAGCATGGTTTCATGATTATTCTTGAACCATCCGCATTCTTTAATACTCTCTAGACAACAACAATAATAAAAGCATCCTTTTCTAAGATGGTAGATTGTGCAAGTAAAATTTCCAGTGAGATAAAAAAGAGACACGTGTGCAAGTGTATCTAAGTAGTGTTATTTTTTATTCATTACATATTGGCTTTGAAGGAATGAGCCACACTATTTTACAAATACTCGACCAAAAATCAGAATCTGACTATATTTATGCCTTTACCTGTGGTTGTTGGCGATCTGTCCACGAAGGCAATGATACCAAAGATCTTGAAATTCCAAATGTGGAAATCTTATTTCATAATATAAATTCATCATTTCAGGATTATAAAAACACACACATACAAACTCATCAATCATCGTTCACGTTCATAGTTTACTCAAAACAAGTGTTTTAAGAAGTGGGTTAAATTTGCTTAAAAATAACAACTTAAACAATCTTTTTATTCATTTAAAATTTCGAGTCTTCCAAAAGGAGTTTATTCAACAAAACGTAGTCAAGTACTAAAGAAATCTACTAGAAAAATCAGTTTTAAAAATCCTCTTAAATAAAGGCGATGACAGCAATTATCTTATTTCAAGAATACGTTTAACAATGAATAGTTGAATATTTTTTAACATAAAAAACCAGCTTAAAATCCTTGATATAAAGGTGATGGCAGTAATTGTTTTATGGAAAAAGTGTTTATCCTTTTAAATGACACAACTTATATTCTCTCACTCTCACAAAGAGGTGGAATCCACACTTTTATTTTTATTTTTGTCAATTCTCTCACTTCCTTTATCTATCTCTTTCTCTCTCTTAAAATGACACAATTTTACATCCTTTAAAATGACACACACTTTTTCCTTGTTTTATTTCAAGAACACATTTAATAATGAAGAGTTGAGTACTTTTTTAACAATTAAATTTTATTTTATTTTGTCAAATACCGTTTTAAATCACATAATAATAATCAAAGTCTTTTTTTTTCGTTAAATAGAACTGCTAATATAGATCAAACATTGCCATTATATTTTATTTTAAGTTCGATAAAGTCCATTTAATTATAAATCTTTTTAATGAATTTAATTAAAAAATTTATTTATATTTGAACTTTAGAATCGAACAAAGACTTTTCAACCCCATTAGTCACGTCACACACAACATGTTATCAGTTGTTCGTACCACCCTCCGGTTTGTGCAAGTGTCTCTTTTAGTGTTATTACGAGATGAGACCCAACTCTCAAGTCTCAACCCCTTTTTAAAAAGTGAATAAACAATAAAAGAATAAGGTTGGAGTAGTTGGGCCTGTCCAACAGCCGGTTGTTGGCTTAACCGTTGCGTGTGATGGGCTGTTGACTCCTCATTTTTTTATTTTTATTTTTCATCCATCCGAACGGCGATCACTCACTCACTCGCTCATATTCCTTGCCTTGCCTTGTGCTCTCTCAGTTATCGACGGAGTCAGTGTCCTCCGGTGGCCGGTGGCTAAGCAAGCAATGCAGAGGGATTCTTCTTCTTCCGATGAAGAAGACAACCTCATCAATCAGAACGAGAGGAATCCCTCTGCTCCCGCCACCTTCCACATCCAACACTTGACATCTCGTTTCAATTCCAAGTTCATTTTCCATAAGAGGTACCTTTTCGCCCTTTTCCCTCTTTTCATCATCCTCTTCTTCTATTTCACTCCCGATACCCATTCTCTTTTCTCCACTACTAAGTCTTTCAACATCCCTGACCATACCAACGATTCCCAATTGCGCGCCCTTTACCTCTTGCGCCAACAGCAATTAGGGCTTCTTCGAGCTTTGAACTCAACCATTCTTTTCAATTCCACTTCCCAAACCCACGATCTGAATCCCTTCCACGATCTTAAGTCCTTCTTGTTCAAGCAGATTTCCCTCAACTCACAGATTCAACAGGTTCTGCTCAATCCCCATAGGACCGGCAACTTGGTTGATTTTGGGAATGCTAGTTTGGGTTATGAAGAATATGATAGGTGTAGAACAGTGGATCAGAACTTGTCACGAAGAAGAACCATCGAGTGGAAGCCCAAAGCTGATAAATTTTTGCTTGCTGTGTGCGTTTCGGGCCAGATGTCTAACCATCTCATTTGCTTGGAGAAGCATATGTTCTTCGCGGCTCTTCTTAACCGGGTTTTGGTTATTCCCAGTTCCAAAGTGGATTATCAGTATGATAGAGTGTTGGATATTGATCACATCAATAGATGCTTGGGAATGGGAACAAAGGCGAAGGTTGTCGTCTCCTTTGAAGAATTTGCTAGCATTAAGAAACATCATATGCACATAGATAAGTTCCTATGTTATTTTTCATTGCCTCAACCCTGTTTTCTAGATGATGAGCGTTTGAGGAAGTTGAAGTCTTTGGGTTTGTCTATGAGTAAACCTGAACCTGTTTGGGTTGAGGATACCAGGAAACCCAGCAAGAGGACGGTTCAAGATGTTCTGTCTAAGTTTGCACATGATGAGGATGTTTTGGCCATTGGGGATGTTTTCTATGCTGAGGTGGAGCAAGAGTGGGTGATGCAACCCGGTGGTCCACTTGCTCACCAATGCAAGACTCTAATTGAACCCAGCCGTCTTATTTTGCTCACTGCTCAGCGTTTTATTCAAACCTTCTTGGGGAGGAACTTCATTGCATTACACTTTCGAAGACACAGATTTTTGAAGTTCTGGTGCGTCTTTTCCTTTTGATAAAGGCCATATGAATTGATGACTTGAGTATGATACATTTGTGCCTAAACTGAATATGATCTCATGGAATTATGACAATAACTATGCTTGATGATTGCATTTAAGGCTTCGGCCTTGTGAGAAGCTGTCTTTCCATTTTCCTTTATTCTTGTATTGCCTCTAATGATCCATTTTCTTAATTTACAGCAATGCCAAAATACCAAGTTGCTTTTATCCCATTCCTCAAGCTGCAGATTGCATCTCGCGTGTGGTTGAAAGAGCCAATGCACCCGTCATTTATCTTTCTACGGATGCGGCAGGTAGTGAAACTGGTCTGCTTCAGTCACTAGTGGTGCTAAATGGCAGGCCTGTTCCACTTGTTAAACGCCCAGCTCGTAATTCAGCAGAAAAATGGGATGCATTGTTATACAGGCATCATATTGAGGGAGACCCTCAGGTGAGATGATATTGCTGCTGCTTTTTTTTCAAGTGGTTTTGAACTTGAGTTATGATTGTAACAGTCAACTGACCTCAATTTGCAAAATCATATCCGTCTGTCATATTATTACAAAAATTTTGTTAAGTTTACGTATATCTGTTCATCATGCTTCCTCTTTTGTTTATATCTGTGTGGTGCATATTCTGGAATGATTTCCTGTTTTTCTCTATATAATCATCTTTAAGTGACCGCGGTTGAGTATTATCCAAAGCTCTACAATCCCATTAATGTGTATATTAGGTAATAGCATGATTCTGCTCTTGTTATATTCGTGTGTAAATTTGATGTTGATGGCCATAATCATATGGGTGATGGCAGTTGCCCCCTCACTACATAGGACTATAGGAGCATTATTTCTTAATTTAGTTTGTATCCTTACTTGCAGAATGGTATTCGTAGGCCCTTTCAGATCATTATGACTCAGATTTTGTGTGTTTGTTAACTTTGTTTTGATGAAATATAATCTATCTCCTTCTATCATTCAAGTTAAACATTTTACTTTCAGGAAAATTAAAGTTCTTTAGCAAATGAGATTCTTTTCCAGAATTTTACTCTTCCTTTTTTCTTCATCCATATTTTTTATGGGATTATGCAATGAAATAAGAAGAGAGAGAAGTCTTTACGCATGTTATTTATGCTGAGTTCTTTACAACAGAGAAGCCCACTGAATTTTGAGTGTTGCCTGCCTTGTAAATTCCTTTGCTGACGTGCATTATGAATATTTTTATTCTTAAGGTGGAAGCCATGTTGGACAAGACTATCTGTGCCATGTCTAGTGTGTTCATTGGAGCCTCCGGTTCAACTTTCACTGAAGACATCCTGCGGCTAAGAAAGGACTGGGGATCAGCATCATTGTGCGATGAGTACCTTTGCCAAGGTGAGGAGCCAAATGTTGTAGCGGAAAATGAATGAAGATACCTGTGACTTTTCATGTATGCCAAGAATCAGAGGGGCTCGTCTTTGTCCTTGATAGGTTTGATTAGGATTTGTCAATGTGTAATAGAATTAGCGATTTGGCTCATAACTATGGCTTGTTGTACATATTCTAACACGATGAGTATAGTTTGTATCGAACTTATTAAACTTGGACTGATCATTGATTCGGTTCGGATATCGAGTAACCGGGTCACTGGTTTAACTCATAGGTCACGAGATAAATTGATTTAACTAAGTTTGTATTAAAATTTATAATAAATAAAACATTTCGGGCAACATATACTAACATAAGGCATTGGTTTAGCGATAAACTCAATGCCTTCTCCCTTCTCCCTATTATGTCCCCTAGTCTCATTTGTGGAAATGGAACCTATTGTTACCTATGGATTACGCTTATGGGGCTTTTAACTGGTTTACCCAAAGGGGAAAGGAAAAGCTCGGAAGCATCTGAACTTGTGTTCATAAATGATAGTCCTTTGTTTTGCTCCCTATTGCAGGGAAAAATAAAAACAAAAACAAAACTGTGATGCGAGGTTCTTCCGTTTGCTGGTCGTAATAGACATCTGAACTAACATGCAAAATTAATAGTAGCTGGGAAATTGGTACCGCAGATTTACAAGATCTCTTGCTAAACCAAGGCTATGTGTCTATCTGATGTATGATTTTCAATCTCCTAAAGCTGCAAAATCTAATCTGTGAAATGGCTGATCCGAAAGTTCAAAGCTTCTTACTCCTAATCGTTCTCCTCAGCATTTGTTTTCGACAACTGAACTGCTTTGAACTTAAAATGCAAGTTAATATAAGGCTGGAAAGAATATTATCGTTTAGATTTTAATTCTATATATTCGGTCGATGTGATAGCATTTTGATTATTAAGTATTTTCAAAGATAAAAAAAAGATTAGTAATTTCAGTTTTTTTGTTTTATTTTTAAATTATGACTAAGATGGTTAAGAAGTATTATTTGATTGATTTTTTAATAATAAACTATATAATCTAAGAAATAATTTTTTGTGGGTGTAAATCTTAAGGCAATCCTTTTCTCTAGCAATTTGTCTCCTGCATCTGCATACATCCATTAATATTTGAGTCAATATTTACTTTTATTAAGTCATGGGACTTACCTGGAAATAAATTTTTCTCCTATTAAAAAGAGGAAAGCATTGCCTAAATGTTAATTATAAATAAAATAAGATAATTATATCATATTTTTCTCATATAAAAAATTATAATACCATATTTTTTTCTTATGGGCCGCATTACATCAAGATATGTCCATGGTGGAAGATACATATCTCAAATAACAAGTATAACCCCTGATTCTTATCGAATTTATTATCTTCCGAATAACAGGAAAGCTCTATAAATTCTGGAAGCACAAGGCTTCAAGGTTACTCTGAAGCATTCTCTCTCTCTCTCTCTCTCTCTCTCTCTCTCTCTCTCTCTCTCTCTCTGGTATAAAAAAGCCTTGGATTTGGCTTCTCTCTCAAGAAAAGAAAAGCAGAGAAAGCTTATAATAGCTTTACACAGAAATCAATCAAAATAAGCATCAATGGCAACTGACCACGAAGAAGATATCAAGGATGAGAAGAATCCCCGCCCCCTCGACGAGGATGACATCGCCCTCCTCAAAACCTATGTAACTTCTTCTTCTTCTTCTTCAAAACCCTATTTTTCTAATTTTTGCTTTACAGATCTGCCTTCTTGTATGAATCTTAGGTTTCCAGCTTTCACTGCCATTTTTTATTCTACTGCTACTACGTTTCATTCGATAAGTATTTTTCTGAAATTTTACCTTCTCACCCTACTTCGCATGAACTTGCTGTTACTTTCTCAATAATGGGGTCTGTTAAATAGTGCGAATTTAAAGTTGTAATTTGTTTTTAAACCAAGTTGGACTATTACTCGGAAAAAAGCAAGAAAGAAAACAGAACTTCTTCTTTCCCAATCCTGTAGAATTTCTGGTTGTGAAGAATATTGGGAAATTAGGTTCTCTTTTGAAGACTCTATTTGGGATTGATAGCTTTGGGATTTTTCTACTTGGTGTTTGTGCTTGCTGCGAATTACATGTGGTAAATGCTCGCAAGTCTTGATTCAGATGCACGAAGTTTTGAACTCTGTATTAGGGTAGAGATGAATTGGTGTAATTGGGTTCAGCTGCTGCTTTTATAGTTATGCAATTTCCAAACTTTTTCCAATCATCTCAATTATTAAATTTTAGTTAAGAGTTGTTGAGATCACCACTATACTGTACTAGGCATGTCTAAAGTAGTCATTACATGGATTTTTTCTCTGTAATATGGAAGTGGTTCATAGACCTTTTTCTCCGAAAACTTCTCCTCCTTGTAGTTGCCGGACTACACGCTTAAAAATATTTATTTTATAGTTCTTTTGATTTTCTTTTATTGGCTGTCTTTTCATCTATAGCATATTTAATTTACAAAATACTTTTATAATAGATTTTTGTTTATTATGCAGGGTTTGGGACCTTATTCCACAAGTATAAAAAAAGTAGAGAAGGAAATAAAAGATATGGCAAAGAAAGTCAACGATTTATGTGGTATGTTTTCCATTGCCATTCTGTATCTCACTAATACAGACAGTAATATGTGAAACATTGTATCCGTTAATAGAATATATTGATACAGATTGTGTTTACTGATTGAAATTCTGTTTTACTGCATCTGCTTCTGTTTTTGGGCCAAAGTTGATGCACTTAATCTTTGCTGGGCAGCCATTGTTACTGATCTATGATCAAATCGTGTTAAACAAACTCAGATTCACTTGTAAATGATAATTCCCCATTTAGTCCTTTATTTTAGGTAGATGTGTTCCTGATAGCTTTAGTTTATGGCCATCAGTCATCAAACAGAATACATGTCCAAAGGAGTTTATGATTGGTATTTTGTAGGTATCAAGGAGTCAGACACTGGTTTGGCTGCACTTGGTGGAAAAAGGTGGAGCCTTGAGTGGTTTGATGATGATCCTTAAGGGTGGGTGTGTTTTGAACCATGGAATGATGGATTGAATGACTAAAGGTGCCACCTTTGGACCTTTGAGTGATGTTCATGCAAAAAGATGACTATGAACCCTAATATAGACTATGTATGATTCAACCAAGTCAAGGATGGATAGGGTTTGATGACAAAAAAATTCTGATCAGCCTTGGCAGCGCCTCCTTCCCCCCTTTCTCTCTCTAAGTTTCAAATTTTGAAAACTCTCTCACTTCTCTCTAAGATTTCTTCACCTAAATCTCTCCAAACCACCAAACTTCCTTCATCAAAGTTGTTCCTCTCACTCTCCTCTTCTTCCTTCACCTAAATCTCTCCAAACCACCAAACTTCCTTCATCAAAGTTGTTCCTCTCACTCTCCTCTTCACCACCATACCATTTTCCTGGTGTGAATCAAAAAGTTCATGCCCCTCACCTCAAAAACAGTCACGGTTTTGTTGTTGATGGAGGCCTTGGTGTTGTGTTTTTAAACTCTCTTGAAGAACCACACTTGGTTGCTTGGTTCTTGTGATTTGTGGATAAGTTCTCTTGATTTTTTTCATGAAAAACCTCATCTTTCTTCTTGTGTTCTTGAGCCTAACTCATGAGCATGTTCATGAAGGTTTGTTCTTGCTTAAATGAGGGTTCTTGGTGGAAAAAGGTGGAGCCTTGAGATAAAGGAGGAAGCTTGAAGATGTAAGTCTTCATTTGATAAATATGAACCAAAAAGTCTCTCTTTTTCTTGTGTGTGTGCCACGATTTTGTTATGTATTGGAGAAATATTGTTTAAAATTTTTTAATGCCATGGTTTGATGATGATCCTTAAGGGTGGGTGTGTTTTGAACCATGGAATGATGGATTGAATGACTAAAGGTGCCACCTTTGGACCTTTGAGTGATGTTCATGCAAAAAGATGACTATGAACCCTAATATAGACTATGTATGATTCAACCAAGTCAAGGATGGATAGGGTTTGATGACAAAAAAATTCTGATCAGCCTTGGCAGCGCCTCCTTCCCCCCTTTCTCTCTCTAAGTTTCAAATTTTGAAAACTCTCTCACTTCTCTCTAAGATTTCTTCACCTAAATCTCTCCAAACCACCAAACTTCCTTCATCAAAGTTGTTCCTCTCACTCTCCTCTTCACCACCATACCATTTTCCTGGTGTGAATCAAAAAGTTCATGCCCCTCACCTCAAAAACAGTCACGGTTTTGTTGTTGATGGAGGCCTTGGTGTTGTGTTTTTAAACTCTCTTGAAGAACCACACTTTGTTGCTTGGTTCTTGTGATTTGTGGATAAGTTCTCTTGATTTTTTTCATGAAAAACCTCATCTTTCTTCTTGTGTTCTTGAGCCTAACTCATGAGCATGTTCATGAAGGTTTGTTCTTGCTTCAATGAGGGTTCTTGGTGGAAAAAGGTGGAGCCTTGAGATAAAGGAGGAATCTTGAAGATGTAAGCCTCAATTTGATATATATGAACCAAAAAGTCTCTCTTTTTCTTGTGTGTGTGCCACGATTTTGTTATGTATTGGAGAAATATTGTTTAAAATTTTTTAATGCCATGGTTTGATGATGATCCTTAAGGGTGGGTGTGTTTTGAACCATGGAATGATGGATTGAATGACTAAAGGTGCCACCTTTGGACCTTTGAGTGATGTTCATGCAAAAAGATGACTATGAACCCTAATATAGACTATGTATGATTCAACCAAGTCAAGGATGGATAGGGTTTGATGACAAAAAAATTCTGATCAGCCTTGGCAGCGCCTCCTTCCCCCCTTTCTCTCTCTAAGTTTCAAATTTTGAAAACTCTCTCACTTCTCTCTAAGATTTCTTCACCTAAATCTCTCCAAACCACCAAACTTCCTTCATCAAAGTTGTTCCTCTCACTCTCCTCTTCACCACCATACCATTTTCCTGGTGTGAATCAAAAAGTTCATGCCCCTCACCTCAAAAACAGTCACGGTTTTGTTGTTGATGGAGGCCTTGGTGTTGTGTTTTTAAACTCTCTTGAAGAACCACACTTTGTTGCTTGGTTCTTGTGATTTGTGGATAAGTTCTCTTGATTTTTTTCATGAAAAACCTCATCTTTCTTCTGGTGTTCTTGAGCCTAACTCATGAGCATGTTCATGAAGGTTTGTTCTTGCTTAAATGAGGGTTCTTGGTGGAAAAAGGTGGAGCCTTGAGATAAAGGAGGAAGCTTGAAGATGTAAGCTTCAATTTGATATATATGAACCAAAAAGTCTTTCTTTTTCACGTGTGTGTGCCACGATTTTGTTATGTATTGGAGAAATATTGTTTAAAATTTTTTAATGCCATGGTTTGATGATGATCCTTAAGGGTGGGTGTGTTTTGAACCATGGAATGATGGATTGAATGACTAAAGGTGCCACCTTTGGACCTTTGAGTGATGTTCATGCAAAAAGATGACTATGAACCCTAATATAGACTATGTATGATTCAACCAAGTCAAGGATGGATAGGGTTTGATGACAAAAAAATTCTGATCAGCCTTGGCAGCGCCTCCTTCCCCCCTTTCTCTCTCTAAGTTTCAAATTTTGAAAACTCTCTCACTTCTCTCTAAGATTTCTTCACCTAAATCTCTCCAAACCACCAAACTTCCTTCATCAAAGTTGTTTGTGATTTGTGGATAAGTTCTCTTGATTTTTTTCATGAAAAACCTCATCTTTCTTCTTGTGTTCTTGAGCCTAACTCATGAGCATGTTCATGAAGGTTTGTTCTTGCTTAAATGAGGGTTCTTGGTGGAAAAAGGTGGAGCCTTGAGATAAAGGAGGAAGCTTGAAGATGTAAGCTTCAATTTGATATATATGAACCAAAAAGTCTCTCTTTTTCATGTGTGTGTGCCACGATTTTGTTATGTATTGGAGAAATATTGTTTAAAATTTTTTAATGCCATGGTTTGATGATGATCCTTAAGGGTGGGTGTGTTTTGAACCATGGAATGATGGATTGAATGACTAAAGGTGCCACCTTTGGACCTTTGAGTGATGTTCATGCAAAAAGATGACTATGAACCCTAATATAGACTAGTTTCAAATTTTGAAAACTCTCTCACTTCTCTCTAAGATTTCTTCACCTAAATCTCTCCAAACCACCAAACTTCCTTCATCAAAGTTGTTCCTCTCACTCTCCTCTTCACCACCATACCATTTTCCTGGTGTGAATCAAAAAGTTCATGCCCCTCACCTCAAAAACAGTCACGGTTTTGTTGTTGATGGAGGCCTTGGTGTTGTGTTTTTAAACTCTCTTGA